TGAAATTGAATTTGTGTCTGTACAAAGAAATGTAACCCAGGATTACACTACTTTCAAAAAAGATGTTTTATTTGTATTTTTTTTGTGAAAACTCAAATAAAATTTATTAAAAAAAAGACAGAGTATTTATTTGTGGAGATTTGAAGTTGCCATTTGATTGACCATTCTGATACATAGTCAAGGTCTTTTTGGAGGGTAGTAGTATTGTCTGTGGTGTTGAATGGCTTTACATCATCAGTGAAGAGAATGCAGTTGCTCTTAATATGATCATAGAGGTCATTTATGTAGAGTATGAAGAGAGTTGGTCCTAAAACACTGCCTTGGGAGACACCACTGTTGACAGGTACAGAATTTGATAGGACGCTCCTAATTTTGACCACTTGTTATCTGTTGGACAGGAATGCTTCTATCCAATTATGTAGGTGTCCAGCGATACCATAAGATTTTAGTTTTAGTAGTAGTTTGTAGTGTACCACTGAATCAACGGCTTTACAGAAGTCTATGTAGATTGCATCTATTTCTTTGCCCTGATCGAGTTGTGTAGTCCATATGTTTTTGCAGTGTAAGAGTTGCAGATTACAGGATAGTTTTTTTGTGAAACCATATTGTTTAATAGAGAGTAGGTTGTCTGTAAGTGGAGGATGATGGATTGGTTAATAATTGATTCCATGACTTTACAGGTGATGCAGCATAACTCCTTATTGGTCTGTAATTTTCAACTAGGCTTGGGTCTCCCTTTTTGAAGATGGGGATGACTGTGGCTTGTGACCATAGTTTTGGCAAAGAGCTGGTCCTGAAAGATTTTTCAAAGATTATGCTTAGAGGTTCGGCTATGGCAGTGGATAGCTTTTTTAAGAAGTAAGCACATATTCCGTCTGGTCCAATAGATAGAGATGGTTTTAGATTGCGCAGTGCTTTTTTAATATCTTCTATAAAATTGATATGTGTTAGATCATTGTAGTTGTCTGTGGTTTGACTAAGAAGTACTGGGCTTGATACATTGTTTTTTACAAATACTGAGCCAAAGAATGTGTTAAAGAGTTTTGCTTTGATGGTGTCATTGTTGCAGTCTTTGATATTAGGTCCTTTCAGGGGTGGGATGGAGTCTTTTAGTTTGTTGTTTACAAAATTGTAGAAAGCACAGGTGGAATTTGTGCGTAGAAGGTTTTCCTTTTGTTTAATGTGATAATTAGTGCATTCAGTTTTTATCTGGTGGCATAGATTTTTGTATTGGCTGTTGAAGTTGGCAATGTGACCAGATTTGTTTTTCTGCCAAAGTGATTTCTTTTTGGATTGAAGCTTCCTTATTGTTATGGGTAATTTGTTTTTCCTGGTGTTGGGAGTTGTTATTGGTACATAAAGTTTGATGGCTCTTTTGATTTCTAGTAAGAATACGTTGTAATGGTCTTCAACAGTATTGCATCCAGTGAATAGAAATTACCAATCAAGGGAAGAGAGATAGTTGATTATAAGATCATAGTTGCCTTTTTTGAAGTTATAATTGGGGATTTTGTCATTGTGATTATTTTTGTGTGGACGTATGTTGAGACAAAAGTCAATCATGTTGTGGTCACTGTTGGAAAATGGTTCTTTTATTTGTATTCCATAAATTGAATTCAAACTATTGCAGAAGATGAGATTGAGGCAGTTGTTAAGTCTAGTATTGTTGGTTAGTAGTTGTTCCAGTCCCAGGTTTGTTACAGCATTGTAGAAGGTTGCATGTATGAATTCAGTTTTACATTTGTTTAGGGTCCAGTTAATATGAGGTAGATTGAAGTCACCAAGAAAGATAAAAGTGTGTGGGCAGGATGCTACCCATGTTAGTAGTGTATTTAACTTGTTTACATGTTCGATGTCATAATTGGGCTCTGTAACATAGTAAGAACCGAAATGTGATATTTAAGGTCAGTTCACAGATAATGGTCTCAGGAAGAGCAAGGTCCTGGGTAACAACGTTGCTTGGTTTTAATCTGTTGATATTGTAATTTATAAACCATAGTTCCCACTTTGTCAGAAGGACAAACCCTGAGTCTGCAAGATATACACAATTCCCAAAGCCTATGTTGAGATTTGCCGGTTTGTGTAAATCTCCATACAATTTTATCAATTTGTGGTATAAAATGATAGGAAACAAGTGTTTTTGGCTTTTAAAGGAGTTACTGCTTTATTAATCTTAAAAACAATCTTCAATAACTCTCCAGAAGGGGACAGTCTTTCCGATTACATATCTGTATGAAGTCAGAATTGTTACTTTTGTTTAGTTTCTATTTTGTACTATCTCAAGTTGCTTCAAACCTTATAGTTCTCTGAGCCATAGCAGAATGGCTGAGATGGGACAGGAAAAAACAGAATGATTCTAGTACTCCTGAAGTGTCATTTTTGCATTTGTATGCTGTAATAAAATTATGGAAGCTCAGTGTATGCAACTCCCTTATTCCAGAATTTGGATTACAAAATTGTTCAAATAGGAACAGCACTTCAGGGGTATTGTTTGAGATAAAATCACTACATTATTGTATCTTATCTCTAGCAAAACACAGATGGCTTAGATTACTACTGCTTTGGAATAATGCATTAAAATACTGAAATAAATGCATTAAAATGTGCCCACTGATTATGTCATACATATTTTCTAATCATTTCTTCCTGGAGTTATTGGATATGTATATATTTTTCACTATCTTGCCCCTGAATAATCACTACAGTGCTGCCATGTTATAGTGCATTTTTCTCAAACTGAGATTCTATTGGAACTACTATTCTCAAGATTCATGGCAAACTTGACCAAGTAATCTAGTGGTTCAGAATTCCAGAAGCTGTAATTTCCAAGAAGTTTAGTGGTCGTCCTGTTGGAAAAAGCTGCATTGATGGAAGAACAATAGTTATAGGCAAGGACAGTAATTTCAGGTTCAAAATGTTATAAAGCAAAACAAGCTATTTTTAATGAGCATTTTGAAATTACCTCGTTTATTGCCTTTAACCTCTTCATTGTTTCTTACATGGCTCTTGTATTTGCCTCTGGTAATATTGCCTACAGAATAGTGAATTAAAATCTTATTCTAAGACCACCTGAACACATTCAGAATAGATTGTGCAAAATGCAACATGTCTGTGAAATTATATGAGTTGTTTATAAAATTTATAAAATGCTTTTATGAACAAGATAGAAACATTTTTAAAGAGGAAGTTTGCTATTACAAAACGATCCAGGACCACAATGTTATATACATTTACTAAATTGCTTATAAAAATTAGAGAATTCAGAAGTGCTTATTTCCAAGTGTGAATGTGTGTGTGTGTGTGTGTGACACAGCAAGAATTTATTTTGTATGAATACACACACACACACACACACACACACACACAAAGGGACATAAAAATATGTATTTGTGTGTATGTGTTTATTTTTTTGAAGCACAACCATGCAGCCTTTTAATAACTGTGGTTTGCATTTAATATTTTTAGGAATAGTGAGGACTGCAACAGGTGGAGGAATTAACAAGCTTGACCTATAAGTCCAGAGTTTTATTTCCACTGAGTTTGAAAATAAAATAGCTTTTTAAAATCTATGCTAAGACTATTTTAGGGCAAGTTCTACAATTTGCCTCATTTCCCACATCATAATACAGGTGTTGATTCTTGTGATTGGCATGGGCTACAAGGGGTAGGATTGACATATCCGAACTACAACAATCCAGATGCCCTCTAGATGGCAGCAAAGAATTTCCTATTGTGCCATCTAACCAAGTGTTGGATTTTGGTAGCTCGGTCAATGGCAATCCTATTGTTGGAATTTTAGAACTTCAGCTTCTATTTTAAAATAGCAAACAAGTAATGGAGACAAGAAAATAACAGGCCAGAAAGGAAAACACGTGTTCTGCTAACAAAAGATCAGCCAATCCAAAGCTATATGTCCTTTGGGAAGAATATCAAAATTGCTGCCATCAATAAAGCTTGCACTAAATTGGTGTATTTCTTTTTTTTTTTCTTCCAAATATCCCAAAATTCTAAGTTGCTTGTCTTGTATTCTTTTGGGAAAAAAATAAGTAGTTTCAGACCATTAATTTCCCTTGTAAGTTTGCATTTGAATGATAATTTCTTTCCACAAATTTCTCCACTCTTTGTGAAAATGCCACTTTCCATCAAATGACTTGGTTTTTATGGGAAGAAAGAGTGAGTACTTGAAAAATGCCACATTTTATTTTACATGAGAGGCATTCACAGGAGGCAGAGAAGAATGTGTCAAAAAGTCATGATGACCATTGTTGAATCCCTCTCCATTTTCTTGCAAGTGTTACTGCTTCATGTCTTGTTAAAAAGGACCAGGGTTTCAGACTAAGTGTTTGGAGGAAAGTTCAACATGATAATTACTCAATAGAAAGAAAGGTAGAAGGCATAGTTGCATAGTTTTTTATCTTTCCTTTTATCCTTTTATGTATGTATATTTTATTTCATTAAAAAATCATACATATGGAGTTAGAATTTGATTGCAAGAGCCATCTTTACTTTTTGAGAATCTATCTTAATCCCCATTCAGGATATTCTTTTGTTTTGTCTCTGATCAACGAAAACTAAATGTAAGGAATAAATTGCGAAATATGGGACAGACAAAATGAAGTGTTTCACATCAATATGAAAATGGAACTGAAGATCAATAATGGAATTTCTTTTCATTATGTGTTCCCGACTCAAGTACCATTGAATCAGAACAGTATCAAGGCATTCATTTCCATCCTTCTTTCTTAGGACTTTAGGATCCCCATTTTCTGTAACAGGATGCTAGGTTAGATAGCTCTTTAACAGAATTCTTGAATTGTGTGTTATTATACTCTTACTATACCTATACAGAAATGTTATAAAATATATCTGCTTTATTTCATTCTATAATTGTGTGTGTGTGTGTGTGTGTGTGTGTGTGTGTGTGTGTGTGTGTGTAAATGCACACATTTCTGTGATCATAGAAACAATCTGAATAATTTGCTCTTCATTTTTCTTTTCAGGGCTTACTTGTGGCAATTATTTTCTGTTTCTTCAATGGAGAGGTAAGCAGATAAGCTTCATTTCATGTCATTTAATACTACCGTTTAGTTCTAATACGATAGTAGAATTCACATTAGATTAGCTTGGAAAACAAAACAAATTACTCCCAAGAAATGACAAAAATACCTCGGTTGATATTTTGAGCCAAGTCAATTTTAGTCAGTCATTGCTCAGAAAACCATCTCTGAACATTTATCTTAATGCTGCACAAATGGTTTACTAATCCATTTTATCTCTGCTGTTTTAGGAATTACCATTTGTTTTATTTGTTGTGTTGAAATATTTCATAACAGTTTTTATGAGCTTTTATTATCGCTCGTTATTCTGCAAGCCACTGCTGTAGTGTGACTAATGAAAAATACAATGAATAAATGAATCTTTAGGAAACAAATGAAATCTTTAGGATCAGGTAGGGAAAACGTGCTTGTTTCGGTATGCGGAAGAAAAGTAAAAGATTTTAATCCACATAACAGGTAGTCCTTGACTTATGGACTTATGGACTTTTAGCAATCATTAAAAATTATGATAGTGGTACTATCAAGGACAATTGCTTTTAAAAGTTTTGGAATGACTGGGATTCATGATAATATAACTACAGTTATCTATAATTATAGTTAACTATAGTACATATATTGGTTGATACGGTTGCTTATATCAGAATCTACAATCATGTTCAATTATCCATATTTACATAATATAAAGCAACTCCTGGGCCTGGGGTAAAAAAACCTACTGGGGCTATATGGTACATTTTGTCTTCCCTTGGATTAATAGCAAGAACAAGAAAACTTAGACTTATATACAGTTCACAGTGCTTTATAGCCCTGTTGTACTGTATGGCACTGAACACTGGGCAGCAACAACAGGAACCAAAATCTGTCTCCATGCGATGGAAATGTGAATGCTCCATTGGATATGAGGTGTCTACCTTCTCAACTGCATCATAAATGACACCATTGGACAACATTTTGGTGTGGCACCAATTATAGAGAAGATGAGAGACGACCGGCTCCGCTGGTATTGACATGTCCAGAAAGCAGCACCTTCCACCATGGCCAAGACTGTCTACCAATTAGAAGCCAATGGCCAGTGACCTTGCGAGCATCCAAAACAGAGATGGCAAGATACCATCAACAAAGATATGCAAGCACAGGCCTGCACCCTGGAGACACAGCTGACCGTGCAAAGTAGCGTTCAATTTTCCGAAAAGCAACCTTGCACCTGTGAGAAATACACTAGGAAGGAGAAGAAGTACTTTACAGCCCTGTCTATTTATTTATTTGATTTGTCAATCGCTTACAAGATAATAGATACAAGTATAAACATGAGTAAGAATACAGGAAATAGGTATGAATAAATGGAGACAATAGGACAGGGACGGTAGGCATGATGGTGCACTTATGCACGCCCCTTACAGACCCCTTAGGAATAGGGTGAGGTCAAGAGTGGTTAGTTTGAGGTTAAAGGAGTGGGGGTTAGAGAATGTAACAACAGAGTCAGGTAGTGCATTCCAGGCATTGACCACTCTGTTGCTGAAGTAGTACTTTCTGCAATCCAGTTTGAAACAGTTTACATTGAGTTTGTATCTGTTGTGTGCTCTTGTATTGTTGTGGTTGAAGCTGAAGTAGTCATTGACTGGTAGGATATTGTAGCAAATAATTTTGTGTGCTACACTTAAGTCCAAATGTAGGCGGTGTAGTTCAAGGTTGTCCAAGCCCCAAATCTCAAGCCTGGTGATATAGGGTATTCTGTTGGGAGCAGAGGACTGTAGTACTCTACTTGTTAAATACTTCTGGACTTGCTTGATTGTATTAATATCTGATATGCAGTGCAGACTCCAGACAGATGAGCTGCATTTGAGTATTGGTCTGGCAAAAGTTTTGTATGCTCTAGTTAGCAATTCAATATTTTGTAAGATTAGATTTACAGCTCTTAATGCCTTTTTGGCAATGCTGTTACAGTGAGCACTGGCACTTAGGTCATTTGATATGAGAACTCCAAGGTCCTTGACAGAGTGAGGATCATCAACGAGCTCTTATCCACCTAGTTTGTATTTGGTGTACTGATTTTTTTTTTTTTTACCAATGTGTAGGACAGAGCATTTGTTGGTTGAGATTTGGAGTTGCCAGATGTTTGACCATTCAGACACATAATGCAGGTCGCTTTGAAGGATAGTAGCATTGTCAGTCAGCATATTACCCCCAACAATCTGGGTCCTCATTTTACCCATCTTGGAAGGATAGAAGGCTGAGTCAACCTTGAGCCAGTCAGGATCAAACTCCTGGCAGTGAGCAGTGAGTTAGCATGCAGTACTGCATTCTAACCATTGTGCCATTGTGGCTCTTTAAATTATGCTTTTGATACTGAATAATATATCTCTATCCCAGAAGAGGTTGTGAAAGACTTGTCAAGGTCTAGTGGCTGTGAAGGTCTGGATTGGTTGAAACATTCTGAAGTTGAATTCAAGAAAAACAGGTTTAGAATTTATTCATCATGATTCCAAAATTGTCCACAAGGAAATGACACTACTTATGAGTGATTTGGAATGTGTGATTTGGTGATCCTTCTGGGGATTCATGGCTGCTGATAGATAGTCAAGTAGAAATAAATATACCATTTTAAAGTTTCTAAACTGAATGTAAGTTCGAAAACACTCTACTACTTAATTTATACCACTGCTTATATCTCTATTAGGCTAGTAAGTCTCAACTTTCTAGATGTTTCTTTCCCTTTTCATTCTGTTTGAGAAACGTCACATATGTCAAGCCATAATTTGAAGGAAACATGCAACAGTAAATTAAAGACAAGATTGAGTCTGTCCAATAAGAATAAGTTAACTGGATTCAGATATGATTAATGGCATTTCTATATATTTTCATTCCCCTAGTCCACAAAGTAATGTAAAAATCATCTCTCTTTTTGATGATCTAGAAATGCTTAGAAATAATGACTGAAAAGAACTTTCATGCCTCAAACTTTTATGCCTCAAAGTTTTCCTGCAATAATCAGGAAAAGCCTGTTTTACAAAAAAAAAAAAAAAGGAAAGCACACTTTTGGCATTTTTCAAAGAAAAGTAAGAGTTAAACAGTTTCATATCTATAAAGACCATAAGCATTCGTTCTCTTTTAAAAACTCACTAGCTTAAAAGGAGCGAAGTCAGAATTTCCTTTATTGGCCAATCATTTCAATGGCTAATGTAACCAGAGAAATGCAATGACTGAGATCTCACATATGTGGCAACTGAGTCAGAAATAAATTGCCTAATTTTTTCATGGCTACCAAACTTGTGGAATTCTGTATGTCATTTAACTTTCAAACTGATGTAATAGCCTACATTCAATCTCACCTAGTAAGAAAGCATGAAGCTAAATAAGATATTTCTTCTGTTTAAAGAAAGATGTCTTTTTTCATAGTTCCCAGCCTGAAATTCATGTTGCTTATTATGATCATTGCCCCTGAAAGGGATTTGAAATGGCTGGTATTTTTCTCTTGTGGAATTATTTTGAAAGGAAGAACCAGTAGAGAACTGGATATAGATGCTTTCTATAAACATTCCAGATACATTTGTAATATAAAGTTTAATCTACACGCTCTATATAAATATTCTTTATGTTGCAATTTTGGTGTCAGATTTATGCAGCCTGACCATTCTGTGAAGCTAGCTATTATTCTTTAAAGTTGAGGAGGACATAATCACAGAGATTTGGGGTACAGGAAGAGAAAGTTGTTTCAGACTGATTTTTAACAATTTATTCCTAATAGAGGATAAATGAGAGTGAGTTATTGCCAACCAAGGGTGATATCATTTCAGAAAAAGCCAAGAGCATTACTTTTAAAAAATAGAATAGCTTGAAGAATCCATTTTTATTCACTGCAATACAGTGTTAGAAAGAAAACATGTGAAAGAGCTTAAGACTGCCTATCAGCTGACTAACACACTAAACACTAAACAGAATGGAACCAAATTTGGTATGGTAGAAGAAACCAGAAAAACAGCTGAGCTAAAAATGGCCAAGATGTTGATATATTCTTTGGAGAGGAAAAAATCATTTAAAAATGATCAGTGGATCACTATGGGAGAGGCAGTTGGATTGTCATCTGGAAGAACTGAGCTCTTCTACATTCTAAGCCTTCCATCTCTTTTCCTATTCGTCATAGCCCAAAAGGAAACTACTGTATTGTTAAGAGATTGGGAAAAAAATTTGAAGCGATGCTCTGCGTGATTTCCCTCCTTTGTTTGTATTAAAATGTCGATGTTCACCAGGTGGAGCCAAGACTTTACTATTGATGGAGGGAGGGAGGGAGGAAAGAAGGGAGGAAGGGAAGAAGGAAGGAAGGAAGGAAGGAAGGAAGGAAGGAAGGAAGGAATGTGAATTTATAGAATAGGGAGATCAATTGCAAACAAGTGTCCCTTAGAATTGGCCATATAACACACTCTGGATTGAATTGCACCTGCATCAATGGGACACAGTCATTTGGAAAAATTGATTTTCCTGTTGTTTATTTCCAACACTGTTGTGAGGAAAGTATTAAAGTGAGCCAAGGATGAAGCTTTTCTAAATTTGAAATAATGATTTTGTCCAAATGGCTGACTGATTTATATTTTGGAAATTAGTTATTAATGAAGACATCAAAGGTATAAATCCTTACAAAAATTAAAGATAATAATATAAAAGCCAGATTCAACTCTAGTGGCTGTTTATGCTTGCCTAAATACTACATTTGACATGCAGCACAGGATCTGGGAAATATTTTTCAAACTCTGGATTTAACTTTCTCTAATATTTCCATCTCACTGTATGGCTTTAATTGACTCTCAGGCAATAAGCGAGCATAAGCTTTAGCAGCTGGAAAGACTTGATTAAAATAGTTATTAAAATAGAAAGCTTATATAGCTGAGGATGGTCTGGATGCCTTTTGAATTAGTTACAATGGGCATTTCTGATTCCCGAACCTCCTAAATATTGAATGGCTTGGACTTGCTGAATTGTGTATTTATTATCCATGAATTCGGGGACATTGGAACAGGGTCCTAGATTTGAAGAATGAAACACATTTGAATGTATGATGCCAACTAAGAATTACAGATCAAAATGGATGCACAAGTGGATATTGGCATGTATGGATCATATAAAAATCTTTGGAAGGAGAATCAAGGAAGATAATAAAGCCATATCTGAAAGATTTCAAAATTCCATTGTGTGAGGCTGTTATATTGCTTCCACACTGAATGGTTGTTGGCTTTGTGTCACAAGACAGAGATTTTAGCTATAATGCTACCTTATAAAAATAACTCTTTAGCAGGGCTAGATAGTTAACTGACTTTGGTGGGACTCCTTTGACCTCTTTTCAAAGATTCATTTGGGCTTAGTTTGAAGAGTGTGAACTGAACTTGCTATTGTCTTTTTCTTTCTTTTTTTACTACTATATATATCCTGGACAATAACTAATTCTCTCTAGCAATTTTCAGGTTAAAAATATTAAAAGCACACAAGGAGCATTAAATCTCTTCTGAGAGTTATATGTTGGATAGCTAATATTTTCTTTCCCCCCAAATTCTCCCAAAATTCACAAAAACAGCATAGCTTCTGGCACCATTGGTTCCAAAGAAAGCAAAATAGAAGGCAGAAGCCCAGCTTGAATGAAGGAACATTTGTTCAGGCACAAGAAGGATTGATCCTGATGTCTTGTTCTTTCTATAACAAATTTCCAGAATATATATTGCACAGTTTTGGAGAGTTTCTGATCTCTGAGCATATTTTGTCAAGGAAGGCCATGTTTTAGGAAGGAGACAAGAAATTGGAATTCTGTTTGCATGAACTGAATTCCACATGCGCTTCTTTATATTTCATTGAAGCTATTATTGAGTTTACAGCAACTTATTGGTTACGGCAATCACCCCTAGGCTGGTATGTGGGATATCAACTCCTGTAATCCATACAAAGTGTGATCATTGCTAGGGGAGTTATAGTGTAACAAATGGGAATACTGTTTGAGAAGACTTGAGTAGTATTTTGACTGAAGTGATTTCCATTCTAAATATGTTTTTGTTAAAATTAATTCACAGGTATTTGCTAACAACTAATACATGTTGGTTGTAGGTCCAAGGAACTCTGAAGCGGCAATGGATGCAATATAAAACTCAGTGGGGTCAAAGACGCCGTGATCATTGCTCTACACGGTCTACCTCCTACACAGCAACATCTCTCACAGAGGTTCCTGTTTTTCTAAATCATCGTGATTCCAACAGTGAACATCTGAATGGAAAGTACATACATGACTCTGAACTTGTTGCATTAAAATCTGGAGATACATCTGCTTAATTTATAATAAAGGGTTCCACTTTTTATTTCTGCACAAAGGAGCAGACTGTAAAGCACCAGCAATGTGAATATTTGCTTAGCAAGCTGGAACCATCATATGCAAAGTGCAGAAATTTAGCTCTCTTGTAGCACCAACTCATAAAAGTCTGATACAGATTCAGATTATGGGGACTGATACCAGTTGCCAATGACACTTTCAAAAGAGAAGGAGATGAAGGCTAGATTTCTCAATGAGGAGAAAAAGTTTTCACCAGTTCCAGAATTTGACCACATAAAACGGGGATGCAATAGTAATAAAACTTTGCATCAGACATTCCACTAGGACATTGCATTAGTTCTATGAAAGATCTTGTTCTCCAAATTGAACTAAGTACAAATTAGAGATGGTAAAGAGCTATTGCTATTTGGAATCATAAAGATGAATTATTTGTCATTATATTGGAGCATTTTTATTATTTTATTTTCAGTAAGTCCAAATGCTGTCTCAAAGTGATTTTCCCCACCCCACTACTTGGACCAAAACAACACCAAAATGTATTTCCTATATGTAAATCTTTACTATCACAATCTTACTATCTTACTATCACAATCTTACTATCTTACTATCACAATCTTTACTATCACAACTCTTCAGTATTATTCTGACATCAAGCAGAAGATAGAAATAAAGGTAAATTATTTATTTTATCATAAAGTTTAGAAAAAATATTAAATATTATCATAGGAATATAATATTCTGTCAGGAAATCCACTTGAGATGATTCAAGAGTCTTGTTCAGTACATCAGCTATATATAAATTGTTTCAAGGGAAATTTGTCAGCCATATTTTTCAGTCCGAAAAATTAGAGATAGGGAACCATTTTTTTTCTCTAGAAATAAAGTCAGAATTCTATTCAGAAAATAGCTTCTTTCTTAATTCTTTCATTCTTTTTTGTTCTTTGATATTACCCTTGATGTTTTTTTGATTCTAAATATTCATTCATTTTGCCACTTAGAACAAGTTAGATTTTTTTCTTGAAATTCACAAATAGAATTTATAGTATCAACAGTAAGTGAAATTATTACTTATATCATTCCATACAAATATTATTCAAATTTTAAGCATCACAGAAAAGTGATTTCCATGTCATTTTTGGATTCAGCTGCACCTAAATCTTTATTCTTCACATGAGAAAGTTTGGCATAATTTTAATTTAAAAAGAATATGTTTTTGCAATGTATGTGTTATAAATAATGTTATGCATACATTTTTCCCTTGAAAACACTTTAAAAAGTCAGTAGACTTAATAACTTTCTAATGCATATACTATAATCAAAATAAATTTTAGAAGCTTTTATACATTACATGCATTTAATATTTCCAATTATATTTCCACTTTGAAAACAGGTTGCAATTAGCTTCACTGATACAAACAGTTGTTTAAATTTTTGATCATTTTTATTGCATTTAAACTTAACATTCCACCACAATCACTGTTGCAGAGAAGAATGAGGACATCACTGTATTCTCATGTGTTTTGAAGAACTGATTACATATTTGGCAACACTCAAGTTATGGCCCAATAGCTAAAAAAATTTTTTAAGGTACATATTCTATTCACCATTTTAAGTATATATTTTATGTAATAGAAAGTTTGCATGCAGATCTTCTGTATTCCTCTTAAAATAATTGGAGAATACACAACAAGAAATTAATTTGGGGAGCTTTCAAAAGTGAGAACTTATGGAGTAGAAAGCTAAAGTATAATTTGAACAAATAAATAGCTGGGTTAAGGGAAAGTAATCAGAAGTCCCATTTCATCAGCATTCAGAGTCACAGGATAACTAGCTGGATGTGTCTGGAAAGTTCATAAGTTTAAGTGGAGGGCAATGGACCAATATCCCCTTTCTACTATCAATTAGCAACCAGCATGCTGTTTGTGTACACAACCTTGAGTGCTAGTAGCATTTAATAGCTTGCACTTCAATTAATCCTGTGCAGTCCTCTTTGAAAACAATTCATATCCTGGTAAGAACTGCAAAATGGAATTTCCTAAGGAAGAAGATTGTTCCAGTGATTTTAAAACCATCCGTTAGTTTTAAAACCACCCATTTGTTGTTTATCACAAAGACTGGTGGCAAATTTCCTAATATAGCGGGGTGGGGGGGAAGCCTTCTGTGACTTCTGAATCTTTCTCTATTTTAATTTCGTTGGAATTTTTATGCCAACCTGCAACCTTTATACTTGTTTGTTGAATTGCTCTTAGAATTTTAATCCAGTTTAATGGGATTCTTTTCAAGTTTTTCACAGTTCTTTTTTAATTTTATCATACCAGATAGTTTAGAGAGTGCCAATTTGGGAAAGTGGTTAAAATGCTAGGCTAGAGACCAATAGCACTAATCCCAGCTGAATGTATAAGCACCTGGGACTATCATTCGGTCATAGCTAAATCTTGCAAAAGAAAAAACGAAAAATCCCTACATGACTTTTGCAGGCAGCTGCCAGGAGTCACGACTGATCTGAATGTAGCAACATATATACATGTTAGATAAACAGCTAAATAGAGAGAAGATGAGAAAGAGAGATGATAAATGATAAATGACAATGATATAGAGATAGGTTAGAGAGAGAGAGAGAGAGAGAGAGAGAGAGAGAGAGAGAGAGAGAGAGAGAGAGATCTGTAGATCATTTATGTACAAGTTAAAAATCACTGGAACAATCTTCATCCTTAGGAAATTCCATTTTGCAGTTCTTACCAGGATATGAATTGTCTGTGAAGCCTATTGTCTATTTGGATCACCTGGAAGGCTATAGTAGTGCCTCTGTATCATGACAACTAGGTTTCACTCAAGAGCCTTTTATGAGGACTGTTACTAAAATCAAAGTACATAGTATCTGTTGGGTTATGGTATCTAACTCACTTTATCCCATTAAGCCTGCAATGAGAGACTTTGGCATAGATTGTTTAAAACTCAAAAATGTACTGTATTTATTGGATCCCTTTTTACACGTTTGAAGATACCTACAAAAAATTCTGGAAGGGTAATGAGGCAAGATCTCTATTTGCACAAGGTTTGTTCTTAGGGAAACTAAGTGTTTGCTTACTTTGTCTTTAATATTTTAACCACTTTCCTCAAACAAATGCTAAACTAGCTTAGTTTCCTTCCCTGCCCCTCAATCCTTTTTTAAAACGGATTTAAAAATCACTTTGCTTAATATTTAATCAGGAAACCGATGCTAATCTGTGGCATGCCTACAACAGATTAAGCTGAAAGGGTTCCTTATTTTTATAAAAATACCAGAATTTTTCAATTCATTGTTCAACAACTTCTGGGCTGTCTGGACTGAGAATGTTTCAGCCTGTCAAGTTGCACTATAAACTCATCTGTTTATATCTATTGGTCTCAACTCATCCAATTTGATATTGTCTTGTAGCGAGATGGGTAGTGAACAAATTTAATCAATAACAATAACAATAAATAATTTTCCCTTTGAAAAAGCCAGCTTGCCATCTGTTCTGTATCTTTAGAAGTAGCCAATAATGCTTCAGTTTCTGTACTGTTTTAATACCCTCTTTAGCACATCTTTAATTTCCCTGTCATCCAACCACTAAATGGCCTCCTGGTTAATTTATTATTCTGAATGTATTTGAAGAATGTTTTCTTGGTTTTTAAAAATGTTTTTGCTATATGGTCTTTTTGCATCTTTTAGCCATGGTAGTTTATGCTCTTTTCCATTCTTCCCATTTGATCAAAAAAATCTGTTTTTTTGAAGGAAGTCCTCTTGACTGTTGTACTATCTCTGGTTCTTTTATTAGCCACTGTTAATATTCACTTCAACTTTCCTAAAGTACTGTATGTGTATCGTAAATTGTATTACTGTAGTCTGGAATAATGTCTAAGCCTTATTGAAAGAACTGATCCTCCTGCTTCGTCGAACCCTTGTGCCCTTAGTCCTTCTGCTCTCTCCTATATACATATATGACCTTGGTTATTTTCATTCCACCTGATGTCTTTAATATTTATTCTTTGGGGTTTTTTTTGTTTTCTTTTAACATCAAGTGCTTCAGTTGTCTGAGTTCAATTTGGAGGCTTTTGCCATTTGCATATGCTAGAAATTGGGAATACTGTGTAAATCCCCAAAAAAGAAGAAAAAAATTAGATAGCTCCTGGACATGGAAGTTAGATATTCCATACAGATAGAAATAAGTTTGAGAAGATATATGCAAATTGATACCTTTCATATATTTATGATCAAACTTATAATGTCTGACAAATGGAAGTGAAGAGTTTTGATTGGGCTTCTTTGTTCTTGTTTATCACATGTGAACCATGTTGCATGATTTGTATTGTAAGCATGCCAGCCATACAGTCTGGTCAGCCCTTATTTGTCTGTCTAAGAGTGTAAATCTTATAAAATAGGCATCAGTTCATAAAAGCTATTTTAAACATGAAAGCAAGATATTAGAATTTCATTCATTTTTATCATGGCCTGAAGGAAAGATTTTTTTTAAAGAGTTCCTAGATATTACACATGTTGTAGTCATAATGTTGCACTGATTATCATGACTGGTTGTGGAACAGCTAAGGAATATTACATATTCCTCTTGTGAAACTGTAAAGACCTAATTGCTTTAATTTTTTGTCTGCTAGAAAGAAAAAGAGAAAAAAGGCTTTAAACATTGTCAGATTAAAAAAAGACACATTTCAGCCATAGCTGAGTCTTGCGTATTCTACTAAAATGCATTTAAGCCTATATTTTGACTCACCCTCTGAAATCAGGGGTGTTAAAAATGCTTAGCTTTTTGGATTGTGCCTATCGTACTGCAAAATAAGACCTGTGATTTATCAGCTGTTTATACGTAAAAGTTGTATAATGAGCTGCCTGTTATATTTATCTTTTTAAAAAATTGTTCTTGCTTTTAAACCAGAAATGTTTTAAAGATATATTTATGTTCCAATTCCCTAGCATTTTCAGGTCAAAAAGGCTGGATTTTAAATTGGTGGCCTAGCTTACAAC